CCATAACGTTTGATTTCCAAGCAAATATTTGTTTAACTGAAAACAAACATGTCAAACTTTGTACCTGTTGTCTGGTAGCTTCTACATCTTTAAGTTTGTCTTCCGTTTGCTGTAACTTTTCTTGCCATAACTTTTGATTCCCTAACAAGCATTTGTTTAACTGAAAAATGAATGTCAAACTTTGAATCAGTTCACACACACTTTATACTTTTGTTGTCGCATTTTAAAGGAAGTGACAACGCACTCCAGTTTAAAACGAAAAGCCTCGTGATCACAACAGCCAATCAAAACAAGAGAAAATAACACGGGGAGCTAATGAGAACTCAAGATAAATTCAGGGCCTGAAGCGCGGGAAAACGCCCTGAACAAGTAGCTGCCGGTTTTAATTTTGAATCTGATTAGTTGAAAGTATATGGCGATAGGAACAATTCAACCAATCATGCAGCGAAGTAAAACAAAACCAAAGCAGTCTCGATTACTTTCGACATTTAATTCAAACTTCTTTATCCGATAAAAAACGTGTTGGAAAAAAATCCACAAACCTCTTGCTCGTCTTTAAGATCCTTAGCAAGCTTGCCAACCTTACTCGCAACCTATTAAGCAAAGCAAAACAAAGCAAAACAAAAACAATAAGATTGAATGGGCAAAAATACATAAACTCATCGTGATTGGATCAAACATGTTATTGTTGCTGTTGCTTTGAACATCATATCTAGCAGCTCCAACCTGCGTGTATTTTTTTTCTAAGTTCTTCTTTTCCTGCTCAACTTCAGTGAGCTTGAATTCCAGCTTCTTACATTCCTCTAGTGTTTTCTTTGTTCTTTCTTCCATATTACTCATCTGAAATATTTCCAAAAAAGGGAACAAATAAAATTAGAAAAAACAGCTAGAGACACAAGTGTCCACCATGCGTTCAAGAACCGTTCAAGAGGATAAGCCTGGAAACAATGGCAAACGTCCGGTATAAACACCTTTCGAAAACCAAGCTGTAAGTTTTTCAATTTTCTGCTTCCAGTAAGAAGCTATTTAGGATGTAAACTTTTGTTCAAGGAGTGGGTCAACGAAAAATCTGAATTTTCCGTAACTTGAAAAAGAGGGTCATTCAGTTCTAACTTTGCGGTAGGTTGCTCTACCGGTCGAGCTGAAGAACACTTGTTGGTGAACTCGGTTTTTTCTCGATCCCTATGTAGTGTCATTTAGTATAATTGCTCTGGCCCGGGTTGTTCAAAGGTGGGTTAAGATAACCCAGGGTTAGTGTTAGATCTAAGGGTTACATCTAAAAGTTTTTAAAGTCAATTCAGTTTAATTTCATTTGTCTAAAATTTGATGATTGAATGCTCTAAAAAGAATTGGGAAAATTATCCCAAAACTGCTTTTGAACAGAGAAATATAGAAACCTGGATTAAAATTTAACCCTGGGTTTGCGCTAATCGGCCTTTGAACAACTGACCCCTGGTGATTACAGAGATGCGCGCGTTCTGCCTAAGCAAGGGTATGTAGCTTTTGCTGATTGAATTGAATATATATATCTTATCAACCAATATTGGACCGGCAATAGAGCATTTTGATTGATTGATTTTAGCTATTGGCCCTCTGACTGCCCAAGTCGTGTAATATATACTTGTTAAATTCTACTGGAAACCGGCTGCTTATTCCAATACGACTTATAAGAATAACTATAACAGAATGGTTTAAAAAACCACAACGAATTTGCAACAGAATTCGAGAACACCTGACCAATTATGTTAAAACAATCATTCTTCTCGGGCTCGGTAAATATTGTTAAATAATCCCCTCGACTTCGTCTCGGGGATTATTCAACATTATTATAGGGCTGTGTCTCACAAGGACTGGGAAGTACCGAATTCACGAATTTGATTGGCTGAAATCAATATTGAAAGCGGTCTAGATTTTCCCATGATCTAGACCGGCATCTAGACCGGTCTAGCAAATTAAGGTATGAAGGATATAAAAAAATTGGCATATAAGACACAGCCATATGATAAACATCTTATTAACCGAACTAGGTCGGTCTGTAAGGGAGAATCTTGACCACGGTCGCTGGTACAGACCGAACGCAGTGAGGTCTGTACTGGCGACCTCGGCCAAGATTCTCCCATACAGACCTCCCGCTCGGTTAATAAGAACTAAATATTCACTGGGCCTGAGGCGAATAGTTGTCAAATATGACAAGCGGTCTGCACTCATTCAGGATCCATAATGTTGAAAGTGTCCTCTTCACAAAAGCTTCGTTCCTTAAAAAGAGGTTTTACGATGTAAATCCTGACCTCTTCTACAGCATCTTTTTCAATTTGTGTTATCTTATCTTGGAAATAAAGTCTTTGTTTCTCCAGCTGGCTCGTCAATAAGTACGTGTACTAGGAATGAAACAGCAACACAGATTATAAATTTAAAAAAAATTGTGTTCAGAGTTCAAAACGAACAAACCAACTGGCAAAGAAGAGACACAAACTTGAGGTACCTCTAGTGACAGTGAATCCATTTTTTCTTCATCCGCAACCTGCCGCCAAGACAACAAACAACCATTTCGCAAAAAGAAAATAATAAAGCGTCAGCTGAAAGCATCGGCTTAGTTTTGTTGCCCGCAAGTTTTGACTTTTAGGGCATAATGAAGAAATTCGCCAGGGGTTGCCTGCGGTGATCTGGTATCCCATCCAGAAGGAACCAAGATATGCTCCAGCCTGTATCCCAGGGTCCCTCGTCTTCCCGCGCGCTGAGGCAGGGGTGGAAGAAGAGAAGCCCTGGGAACGAGGTTAGGTATGCTCCCGCTCACTCTCAAAATCTAAATGTAAATTCTCTACACTATCTGTCTTCGTTTCTTATAATTTCAGCCGTTAGTGGATATTCTTCTTTCTCCTCATTACATTTGTAGTCGATAACCTATCAATAAAGTAGAGAGAAATTCCTTTTTGATCTCTCAGGCAAGTGAAAGGATTATGTAAGACTGCAATTTTTTATCCTTTTTGTTTATGGGTGATTCACCTGTTGTCCCGTGCCATATTCCACAAGTTTGCCATCTGCTTTATTCTGGATCAGACGATGAACAAAGTTGTCTGTGGATATATCAAAAGATTTGAGTTATCAATAATTCTTCAAAATTGACCGCAGTAGAACAGAAGAGGGGAAAACGTCACTTCAAATACTTGTGACCTACCTCCTGTGTAATCCCAAACTCGCTGTGTTCCAAGCTCTAACGAATATGTATGCTGTGTTTCTTGGAAATGTCTGCAAATTCAGAAAAGCGATGAAGTAGACAAAGTAGAAATAGAAATGAATAAAGGCTGATAGTTTCTAAGGAAACTGTTTGGGGCTGCGCCGGTGGGGGTAACGAAATAATTCGAATATATCAACAAAGTTGAAATGGTAAATTGGCCACCGTTACGATTATAAAAGCTGACGTTTCGAGCGTTAGCCCTTCGTCGGAGCGAANATAAAGTAGAAATAGATTACATTTCCCTATTTGTTTCAGTTCGCCCGCAATCATGAGCCGATCAAATCACCCCCTACGAGTGACCAGCATCTAATTTCTCCTTACAATATCACCCCTGAATCAAACATTAAGGTTACGAGAATAAAGGAAATGATCACCAACCAAAAAAGCTCTTGATTGTTTAACAAATTCTCCTTGTCAGTACTTTAGAAAATGTATAGTGAACAGTATGGAGAATCTGTATATTGATGTTAGGGTGTAAAAGGTTAACTTAATTAAAACAAATCACCTGCTAGTTTTAGCTTTACTTCTGAATTCTTCAGAGTGTCGTAAGTTTTCTAGTCCAATCAGAGAGAACTAATGCAAGTATAATGAAATCCTGGATCCCTTTCGACAAAAAAGGGAAATTTTCTTTGAATACAGTAATCTGTTGCTAACCTTTTCGCGTGAGATCTGAGATATCTCCCACAACCAATGTGACCACAAATAAGACAAATCCACAGGCTCTAAATCGCGAGAAGGAAACACAACTAAAACAGCCAGCTCAAAAAAAAAAAAAAAAGAAAAAAATTTTGTACCGAGGGGAACTCGGTTGAGAATCGTAGGAACCAAACCAAAGTAATAACGAATGCCAATCCGGAAAATGTACACAACACAAGCATGAAACAAGAACTTAAATTATCAACAAGCAAACTGCCTGAAGCGTTGGTACAGGGCGAACAAGTCGAGTTTGGTTTTAGTCTTGCATGTGGTTGGTTGACAGAGTAGTGCGACACTCCAAAACAAATCGGGGGACAAAAGAAAGAAAACCAACTCAATCCTTTTGTAGGTTTGATTTCAGTTCTTTGAACGATTGGCAACTACAGACATCCAACTGAGAATAGAAATATTGTGAGAAACGTGTAGAAAGGTGTCTTTCATAGATAACATTAATATCAATTTTTTGAGATGAAATGCAGGGATTTATTATGGAGGGAAAAAGGGGGGGGGGCTTCAAACTATGATAAAAAAAGGGTCTGTTCGGAAAGGGGTCCAGACCCCCAAAATCTCCCCCGGATCCACCTTTTAGTAACTGTAGAGCAAAGCGTACCTCACTTGAATCGCACTCAAAACACTTGTTATCGTCGACGGGCTGAGGAGTCTGGCAATATCTACATACTGGACAACTGAAAGACAAAAATATGATAACCGTCTTCAAAAACTTCAGCATCACACAAGATACATGATAGGGCTCGATACTAACGGTAGCCAACTAGCTACGGACTAGTAGAATTTCAGTTTTGGCTCAGTAGTGGTTTTCGATTTCCACCAGCCAGTTTGGCTAGTAAACAAACTGAAATTGTTATAACATCGAAGTTGTCTCTAGCCTCGTGGCTAGTAGGTTGAAAAGCTAGTGTCGAGCCCTGCATGATTCAACAAAACGATAAAGAGATTTCCAAGAATCTAAACGGTAAAAAATCAAACCACATTATTGCTGTCGGTGACAGATTTCTGTACAACGAGACACGTATCATACCGATCGCTACACGAATCCAGCAACGAGATTAACTTCCGAAAAGAAGGAAAGCGTACCAACAGTGTGAAGTAACCGTACGTCCAACGACCTAAGCAACTTACCACCCGACCAACGAACAGAGCACCATGCCGACTTTCAATCGAACCGACTCAATGATTTTATTTCGCAATTTTTCATTAGTGCTACATTCCGTTTCGGAAGGGCTGCTATAAAATTAATATTAACTTTAAACTCACGTCGTATCAGACCATTTAGATAGGCAGCTTCCGTGAAATGAATGATTACATAAAATGGTTAAAACACCTTCCACAGATTCATCCTGAAACGCAAACCAAAGCAAGAGAGAAAATTCATATGAAAATTCAATAACTTTATTTAGTGTGGACGATCTGGAATATTGTTATACCGAGAAAATATCAATATTCTCTTGGTTACGAATATATCAGAAATGAAGATACTGAATCCGAATCTACATCAAAAATGTGAAAATTTACTTCCGAAAGCTATCGCTGTCAATATGTTTAACTATTGTCATACATTCTTAATTGACGCTAACATTTGCAAGACATTTAGAACGTTTCATCTTTGACCCAAGCGAAAGGCTTTTATATCCTAATAATCGTGTTTTTCTAGCTCTTCGTGAGCGATTGTCGCTTTTAGAATTTTGGTCGGTAATCTCATTTGTCTGTGACACCAAGTACATGGGTATATTTATTGATTTATTAAAGCCGAAAGAAAAAAGAAAGAGAAACTTGACAGCTGTGTTTTGATGTTATGATACCATAAGTCTTATTTTCTTCGATAAAATTATCCCTCATCTCCACAGGACAGCGAAAAAAACTGACAATAGAAACAGAATTTATAGAAAATGAACTGGATGTAGTTTGTTCCGAGAAAGTACATAAAAGTTTTGTCTAACGCAAAAGTAAATTTGATAAAAGCTTTCGTGGCCGAGGCCAAACATTTCTTTTATCTCGCTAACAAAAGTAATAATTAAAAAACATAACAGTAAAAATATTAACTACAGCGGGAAAGGACGATCAAATTGATTCCCTGAATTTTGAATTGACAAAACACTACCTTAACAAGCTGTTCGCCGGTCAAACTTCGCAGCATAGATCATATAGGATTACTTCCTTTCAAAATATAACTCTGGAAACACTGCATCGCTGTGTTATTACTTCCACGAAGTTCGATCAAGTCGTAAAAATTTCAATTTTCAATAAGTTACTCGGCGACAAAAGAGGATAAAGGGTGCTTGCCAGAGTTCGAAATAACACGAAAATATGTATTGCCACTCATTCGCAAATCTCTCACTTTTTCGTCCATTAATGAAAATGTACGTTGAAAAAACTTACAGTGCGAAAATTCTTACCATACGTTCCAAGCACACCGGGCATTTAGGCAATTCAGTCAGCCCTTCACACGGTAGACTTCCCCCCTTGATACAGGAAGAGAAATGAAAACAATTATTCTTTCAGTATAAATTATTAACGACTTTATATCTCGAACCGTCTAATGATTACAGTGACGGCCGAAAAATGTTTGCAATTTCAACAAAAATGCTTTAAAATTTCAGTATATGCCTTTTCCTGCCGCTCAATCTCTATAAACAAGTTAATGCCCAAAAATAAAAAAACACATGAAAGAAAAAAAAGGAACTCACAGAGGAATAACAGAATTATTCAAAACTAAATGACTGTTCTTGCAATCACAGGCGGCCCAGGCGTAAAACGATTATGTTAAAAGTGTTCTGTGATTGGGCAAAGGGGACAATCGATTTTTTTTTGGAAAATCTATCATTTTATGAGTGCTACTTTGTGAACCTTTCAAGCAGCGAGGCTGCTGAATAAGCACTTCTAACTAACCGAGGTCGAGGTTCGTACTGTAAGTTACGAACTGAGTTTTATCCGCACGGGTCTATGGCTTGCGGGCGAGGAGAAAATAAACGAGGTTCCGTGACTCAATAGTACGAACCGACAAAACGAGGTTACGTATATGTGCACGATCCTTCGCAGTAAAGCACTATTTAAGCGATAGTGAAAATCAGACCTGAAAAAAATTCAGGCCTGTACGGGATTCGAACCACTGACCTCTGCGATACTAGTGCAGCGCTCTACCAATTGAGCTAACAAGCCAACTGGGAGCAGGCCGAAGGATCGTGCACATATACGTTTCATAACCACAGTTCATATATATGTATTACATATGTTTGTTGTTTAAAACGAGGTTAGAAAGATATTCATCGAGGGAGGCCTTGGGATTTTCGGTTTTTGCGCCCAAAAACGTTGGTTTTTCGGTTTGTGGTGTTCATTGCGGTTTGCAGATTTTCCGATTTTTAGCATTTGGTTTTCCGTTTTCGGATCTAGTATCCGATGTGGTTTTCGATTTTTCCTATTTGGGTTCCAGTTTCTTTTCGATCTGCGCGGCATTAACGCTCCTTCACTTATCTCGAATAGCCGCGAAACCTCTGAATGCCCACTTGTCTCCACAGTCAATCAATCAATCAATCAATGTTTGTTTATTTATACCCCTTGCAGAAAATCTAAATTACAGCTATATTCAGCAAATTGTATACATAAGTAAGCTTTTCCGTGTCGGATCGAATAGGGTTTTCATGTCTGCGACGTGAAACTTTATCGGAATTGACGGTTTTGCAAGCAGTTTTTCGGTTTCAGTTTTGCGGTTTCTAAAATAGACCCCAATACCCCCTCTTCATTGTATCTGTGGTTTCAAATGGTGGGGAAAGATCCCAGTTGAAACAAACTTTTGAATTCAGCTGGCGGTACAGTGAAATATAGCCCGTTAAATAAACTAATCATAGCGCACTTACTGAGAGAAAAAAATTAATCTGTTTATTTTAGTTGGAGTCTAAACATACCTTTAATTAAAGGAAAAAAAAAAGGGAAAAATTATTAGGTAAGAACATTCACTTCCATTGCATCCAAAGTCAATTCACACGACAGCTTACCTCTGATAATTTCTTGGTCTCCACCTTAGCAACGTAAACTAGATGACAAACCTAAATTTTTTTTGATTTGTTAAAAAAAGAGGATCAGTTGATAGAGCCAATATAGTACACAGTCTAGTTATTAACTGGGGGCATTGTAAAAAAATCAAGTGAAAACATCGAATATTTGTTTGTCTGTCTGTCTGTCTGTCTGTCTGTCTGTCTGTCTCTCTGTCTCTCTCTCTCTCTGTCTGTCTGTCTGTCTGTCTGTCTTTAAAAAAAATCCAATAGCTCTAAATTTCTATTATTTGGATTTTGTAGTTAAGTTGGTAGTAGCGCCCAACTAGTATCTAAGAGGTATGAGTTTGAAGCTTGTTTAAGCCTGAAATCTTTCAGGCCTCTTTTTCTGCAGTTCTTTAATTGCAGGCTAACTGAGAAGATCACATCCTAACTTGCACATCTTTTATGACAGCTCAATTGATCACCCTTCTGACAACACCTCTTTTCAGAGGATTGTTCACCTACCTCTTCCTCTAAGAGATTGTATGGTTGGCCATTGTATGTATCGTAGAAATCATCTGCAAGTCCCTTTCAAGGAAAAAGATTATAATTTTTTTTTTATTCAAGTCACTTGCACAAGAGATAATGACATAAAAAACTTAAAATTATGGAGACCTTACCTGATTCCTGAATTTCACAAGAACCATATATTGGTTAGGGTTGCTATCTCTGATGATCTTGACACATTCAATAAACTCCCTAAAAGTATATTACGATTCAATAATCAAAAAATATGTACAGGACAAAGAAATTACTATTTCACAATGTCATCATTTTAATTCAGGTGACACCCTCCTTTCATTTGACAGCCAATTCTTTGTATGGCCAACCCTCCCAAAGTTTGAAAACCATGGTTGAGAGCCCTTAAGCCTAAAGCTAGTGTTCCAAACACAAGACCAGGTCTGTAGTAGCCTTTAACAAGATTTTTTCCTTATCATGAGCTTTACTGATTAGTGGTCATTTCCTATCTTCTTGCAACCTTCACGTTTGATTCAGGTGTGACAATGTAAGGAAAAATAAGATGCTTGACACTCTTGCAGGTAAAAGGACTAAAAGTTATTTACATTGTATACACAGTCAGCAGTAACCACAAGTCAGTTAGTGATATCAAACATAATTAACTCACTCTGAGGGAGCTACAAACTCCATGAGGTCTTTGCAGGTCATCTTAGCAGGTACACTTAACATGCAGATCATTTCACTCCGATAGACCCCTTCCGTTAATAAAGTCATGTCACTAGATGGATCAATAGCATCAATAATAATATTAACATAGATTAGATCAATTGTAATGGATTCTCAGATTTCACAAAAGGATAATTGGGATTTAGACTGAAAATTTGAAAACCATGTACACTGGAAGTATGTATGGAAAGTCATATGAATGTGTTCCCAAGAACACAACAAAAAATGTGATTTCATAACTGTGACAAAATTTATCAAGTAGGGGGTGTTGTTTGATTTAACACTTAATTCTCAGAGCTTAAATAGCAAGAAGACTATAGAAATCTAGGGAGTGAGAGGGTTAGAAAAAGAAAGTTCAACTGTAGTTTCTTACTTGTTCTTGTAAATATGAATGATTCCCTGGATGATCTCAACAATTGGATTTCCACAGAAGAAAGCTACCTTTCCCTGCCCACCACTTTTCTCCTCTTTTTCATCTCCATGACCAGAATCTAAGTTTGTATCTTTGTCTTCATTTTGAAATGAAGAAAACAAAATATTTTTTAATTTGAAAGGCAGTTACAAACAGTAAGTCTCCCTTAGTTCTCTAACTTTGCTCTAAAATTTTACCCTTTGACCCCTAACAGAAAGTGGCATCCTTAGAATAATTATCACCCCTGAAATATATATCAAGGTTCTGAGAATAAAGGAAACCATCAACAATTATGAAGAAGCTGTTAATTGTGAAAAAATTTCTCCTTTCCAGCACCTTAAGAGATGTATGGACAAAAGTATGGAGAATATGCGTGCTGATTTTAGGGTGTAAATGGTTAAGAACACTTATGCAGTCGAACCTCGATTATATCTGGACTCGTTGGGACTTGATGAAATAGTCTGGATGATCAGGAATATGAATATTAATAAGGAACAAAAACTGATTAAATTAAGAAAGTGGCATTTAATCCTGAAACAAAACATTTACAAATCATTTTGAAAAAGATATGGTGCACATCCTCACTGTCTGAGGTGAATACCTCTACATGTGTGTATTAACAATTAAAATTAATGAAAAACATTTTTACATTGGCCTGAAATGTTGAAATAAGTAAGTATGTCTTAAAGAAGAACATCACCGTTACTTCACTATTCAATGGCGCTGTAGTTTTAAAAAGAATATGACTACTGATCTTGATCATGATTAATATTTATTCAAGAAAAAATTGGGAACAAAGAAAAAGTCCGGATAATTGAGAAATCCGGATAATCGAGGTCCAAATAATTAAGATGCAACTGTATGTTAATCTCACACCAGCTCATGCATTTAAAAAAAATTCTTACAGCCTTGCATAACACATTGTTAAAACAAATAGCTTATGTTGGCAGGCTTAGTTTTCTCCATTTTACTTCCTTTTTCTTGAAAATCATGACAAGCTCACATAATGGCCATTCTAAAATTTAGTGCTTTAGTAACAATAAATCACCTCATGTTGGGTTAATATTTCAAGATATCATGTACTTCTTGACCAGTCAGAGTATCTCTGTAATCACTTGAGCAATAAACCTCTTTGACTTGTATTTTTGTTTTCCCGATGAAGCTCTCAAGGGAAACCCACCAAGTCACCCCCACCCCCATTTCTTTTGTAAAGTATATCTACAAATGCACATGAATAGGATGAAATTAGAAAGAAACAAATCACTAGTCATCACATGACCTATGTTACAAAAAACAAAACATACAATATGGAGAGGTGTTTTATACTAAACACCAATAATAAGGAGGTCTGCCTCACTTTATATCACAGCGAAAAAGTACAATGGTATGATATACGGCCTTGACCTTACCACCACTCGTTGCATGAGTTTCAATGCTTATGTCATGGACGTATCTTTCACCCCGGTGAACTTTCATTTTTTCCTCAGAGATAGAATCAGTAGACATGGGTTCCTTATCCTCTCCACTAGCCAGTTTGCCCTTGTCTGATATAGACATTTCTTTACAAGCCATAAATCCAGGGGCTAGAACACATTGAATGTATCTTTGTTACACATTTCACCCTTTTATCCCTAATAGTGACTGGTATGTAATTTCTCGTTATGATATTCTCCCAAAATCACACATTAAGGTCAAGAGAATAAAGAAAAATGATCAAGCACCGACGAAACCCTTGATTGTTAAACAGATTCTCCTTGTTAGCCCTTAGCAAATGTATATAGAACAGTATGGAGAATATGCATACTGATGTGGGTGTGTGAAGAGTGAAATTTCGATTGATGAAAGTTGGAAGTGGATTCTTCTCTGCCTCATTTATGGCTCAGATACGTACAATGAGCAAATGGGAACATTTAGTATTTACGTGGAATTTGTCAACAGTTATAGTCAAACGGTTCAAGCCGGTTAATGAAGTGGATAAACTTGTATTATCAAATCTAAAATTCATAAAAATATTATATTGAACATAACAAGTCTGTACTCACCACAGTAATCTAAACCTTGCGGCCCAGGCAAATCGTCCGCAACCTCAAATCTAAGAACTACCAGGGAAATGGACATTTATTCTTCCTTTCTGTCCAACACATTTGTAACTTGAAGAAATGTCTACCGCAAACCGGGCCAAAACGTCTTTTAGACTACTGTTTTCGCGATTTCATCGTGATTAGGATTTTGCGAGCCTTCATTCGTGGAACAATAGCGCAAAACAGCAACATCGTCATGTAAGATTTACAAATTGTCATGTAAGGTCGAAGTATGCAAGTGTCGAAGTTTCGTATCCTAGTTTAATTTGGTACCAGGTAACTGCGTTCTCTAATTTAAATGAAATTGTTCTCGTGCCAGGTATTCCAAAGAGCTGGAGTTTGTCCCAACTGCAATTAAGGCGAGGTCTTTACTTTAGTGAATGCGATTTTGATGTGTATAGAGAAGCTAACAGCTTACCATTTTCGCGGGAAAATCAACTTTGTCCGGGTGAAAAAGAATATCAGAGACCGTTACAGGAGCAATCAAATTATGTTGAAGTGCTCTTGTGCTTATCTTCGTTGAATTTTTATTCCGATTCCTTTTTTACTCGGCACATCAAGTCTTTTGTAAAAAGGTACGCCTTATATGCATGGATCGTACCATTTCTCACTGAATATTTTCCGAAAGGTATCGCAGCTGTAGAATACCCTACCAATCATTTAGATGTCATTGAATAAGAATAGCCTCTATTATATATGCTTCGTCCTTCAGGCTGTTCTTAGTTGAACAAATATGGCGCTTTTTAAGACTATTGTCGCCATCGTCCTCATTGTCACGGCATTCAGCGTTACATCATTCTCTACGCACTTTAAAAACATCGTCTCTCAAATTCTCGAGATCTTTCGAACGTGGATGCCATCGTTTGTCAATATATTGGAAGACACTGTGGCCACAATTTACAAATATTGTGCTGAACGCTTCCTTGAAGACATCAACAGAGCCATTGCTGGCTTGGTTACCCTTCACAACAATGGAATGGGTTATACAGACGAATTCCTGCAGCAAGTTCTTGGCATTGATGGTAATAAATTTCCTAACTTGATGATGATGTAAAATGTTTTCTCTAAGCTTATACAGGCTTACAGATGCTAAATTGTAAATGAAAACCTTATTCACACAGGCAACATAATTACATGTCGTAAAAAAAATAAATAAATAAAGGGAAGGTCTAGCTGTCTTTTTTTTTTTTTAGCATAAGCTGTTGTATCAATATATTCTCTCTACTATCATAAAAACACTACGACTGCCTCAAGTCAATTTGAATGCAAGAAAAGAACTACTTACAACATCTCTACTCAAAAACACTTTACTCTGGTACATAACTAGTTATCTGATCACGAATACTATTTTTCAAAATTTCTTACAGGTGCTACTTTGCCAGATCAAGTTGGAACAGCAAGAAATAAACTCTTATCGCTCATTTTGTTCCTCTTTTGGGTCATTATGGGTCTCATTTGCATTTCCAGAATGTCCTATAACAAATTTTTTTTTTTGATGTCTGGTACATTCCTTGTCCATGCTTTTTTTGGGCCTGTCTGGTGCATACGGTGGATGGCATTTTGTATTGGAATTTGCTTATGGATGGGTTCTCTAGTCTCCAGTAAGCCAATACCTGCGGCAATCACTGTTTTGATTGCTTTCACCTTGACAGGCCTAAGAAGATGGACGAAGAAAGTTGATATGTCGACAAACACCAGTTATCTCGTGAAGTTTAATGAAAGTATCGAGCAAAGACTTGATGGAATAGAAAGAAAACTAGATCTCTTGATGACAAGGCTGAATGACATGAACCATAATGTGCACTACAACTGAAAAAAAAAAATGCACAATAGATTTTTGCCAAAGATGGGCTATAGATTTTTGCTAATCCTGATTGGTGGAGAAGTTATGAAAGGAAAAACTGTCAACCATTGCAATTCCAGGATGGACATGGATGGACATGTCTCCTTTCAATTAAGGATTAGAGTATAATTATTGATAAGAGCTAATTCTAAATCAACTATCATGTTTAGGAACTGAGGATTAGCAATATGATTGTCCCTATGATAAATCTACCAGCTGTTCAAACTTGACATCAAGAAAAGCATGTTCTTTAATGAATAAGGATACAATTAGGATATACCTTGTGCTGCTCACTTCAGTCGTTGTTTGCTACAAAATTGATTTTGATTGATGCAGAAGAAATTTTCCTTGATGCCTAACCCTTTGCCCCAATAGTGGTCTGCATCTAAATTCTGCCATCACAATGCTGTGCTCTAAGAAAATGAGAAGGGAGCCCACTGCTCTGAAACTTTGAAATACAGGGTGCCCAACATATGCTTTTATATGAAAAAACTAAAATTCCCAAGTTGCCCAAGAGTGAAAGTAAAGTACCAGGGGCCACTGTGCACTGCTAGACCACAGCCCTGCATCATTATCACCCCTGAATCAAACATGGAGGTCAAATTCGACAAATTCTCCTTTAAGTGCCTTAGAATTTGTACAAAGTCCAGTATGGAGAACTTACATACTGATGTTAAGGTGTAAAGGGTGAATAGTTTGTGGTTAGGATGAGTTTTAGCTTAGCCAATGAAACAGTCTGTTCTGTTTTAATAATAATAATAATAATACAGTTCTTAAAAATGCATTATGCATATTAAGTCTCAATGCTTTTACATAAGATTTAAAGTAATTTCAAAAATAAGACAAAATTTAACTATAAATTAAAAGCGATTTTAAAAAGGTGAGTCTCTAGCCTGGTTTTAAAGGAATCTATAAGGTTTCGGAATATCTCATAAAATCAGGAAGTTTGTTCCAAAGCATGGGGGATGCACACGCAAAGGATCTGTCGCCATAGGTAGAGGTTCTAGATCTTGGGACAGACAGACTGATGGACCTTGAGGAATAGAGGGAGCAGACAGGTTTATAGAGAGTTAACAGATTTGCCAAGTAATCAGGAGCCAGACCATGAAGTGCTTTACTGATAGGAACAGACCTGCGAGTGACTGGCATGGCCTGCCCCTCGCAAATGAAAGAGGATTCAGCTTAGGGATTCAGTTATTAATGAGAATATCAGTGTGATTAATAAATGAATTTTTGCATGAGTGCGTGGGTATGATATAACCACATTTATTAAAAGCTGCCAGATTCTTGCACAATTTCATTTGTTAGTTTTTCCAATGTATAGGGTGTCTTATTTATATATAGCCTACAGGGAAGGCATCTCATTAGCTTATGATCGTTTATCAGAACGTCAGAATGGAGAGTGGGGGTAGGGGGTGGGGAAGAGCTGCCTCAATCCCAGCCCTCTCTGTGTTTTTTACTTTCACTCACCCCCTTTGTATGGCACTTGCTTACCCAAATTCCACCAGCTCTGCAGGCTAGTTAATGTAGAGAGGAAAATAAGTAACTGGAAGATATTAAGAATTCAAAGGATGTAGATCAAGCCTTCCTTAAGATAAATCAACTTACGCAACTAGAATAAAAACAAAGTTGATAATAAATTATTATTGTAGTGGATTATTGAATTTTTGATTATCAAAAAATTTTTATGAACGATTAATGCCCTTGCAAATGTTTAAGTCTTTACTTCCTCTATCTTGTAACCTTACTCACCTGTTCACAAGTTTAAGAATGACCCATCCACTTAAAAACTCATCACTGCCACCAGCTGCCACTGATCTTATTTCTCCTTCATCTCCCTTGATTAAAACATCTGTGCAACCCAGGCCCACCCATGTTGTTACCATCGCCCCACTCCCCTCTCCGACGGAAGGAGGGTCGAATCTGCCTCCACGGAAGTGGAGGGTTATATTTTCGCTTTCCGTCGAGTCTGGTATGCTCTTGCGGCAGTTTCCAAAGATTCGTGTTGGTATTTTCACTTTTTTAGCAGCTTCCTCAGCCGTTGTTCGATCCAGTGAGTATAAAACTTTAGTTATCGTGTGATCTGCATGCAAATCTCAAACTACCGCGTTGGTTCGAACATCACAAAACGCCAGCTTTTTCAGAAACAACGTAACACATCACTGACCTTTCCAATGTATATTGATCGATGATTTATAAACTGTTATTACGCCCATTGAAAATGATAATTATGTAAAGGGAAGCATTAAACGCAACATTTAGTTGACTTTTATATATAGACTGTGGAAAAAGTCGTTTGGTGATAAAGGTTAATGTTTGAGTAACGTCAACTAGGTTTTTCGTTTTAAATATAGCTTAATTTTAAAATTATTCCCTTCACAAATTTTTTTAAAACTGTGTCAGACTTTCACTTTGTATAAAAATGTTACTGGAGAAGGAATCTTCGTGTGTTTCTCTTGTAACAGGAGTTGGCAAATATTCTTTGTTAATATTCATGCATGTAATTAAGCTCGATTAATGAAAGGAAATCAGGAAATATTTTTTGAGTAAAGATATAGTATCCAATCGCTCAATTAGCATACAAAAGTGATATTCCTGTGATGATTCTATTTCTCTAAATATATTTTAGGACAGATGCATCGATGACATCATCATGAATAACTTTTACTTTTTTATCATATACAACAAACAGATTCTATGCTGCTGTGGGCTCTGCTCAGTTTTACATTACAGAAGAACATCACAAAACGCAAAACATCAGGGATGCAGTTGCCTAATTCTGTGTGCCTCTTCTTTATTCTTACCACATTTGCTGTCATCCATGAGCTATTGCTGAACAGATACATGGCAAAATGGAGTCCATTTGTCAGATAAAATTAAGACTTTGAAGATAAATGTTGAAGTTCTAAATGAATTTAGGTCAAAATGATTTAAACATTAGTTAAGTTAAGTTAGTTTGCCTTTTTGTTTGTTAAAGATAAATCATTGGAATTCGTGAGCCAAAAAAAATCACAGAAATAAAGTTAGTAAGGAATTATCTACTCTAGTTCCATTTTAACTTAATAGAGATATAATATACAATCAAGTGCTAAACAAATCAATAAAGGATTAAAAAAACGATATGCTTCATAGCATTAACATTATATTTACTTTTTATTATCCTTAGCTCAAAGTGGACTGTGTTACTATACGATGCACACCAAGGCCAGAACTCTAGAATACCCTTGCTCAAATGTAAAGAAGTTTCCAGTAGCCTCAGAGTTTGCGAACTGGAATGTTCCATTCCCAGAATATAAGCCAGTAGATTACACCTCTGAGCACATTCTTCAGATGCCACCTTATGCTGATCCAGATATAAGGTGAGAATAAAAATTATTACACGACTCAGGCAGTCAGAGGGCCAATAACTAAAATCAACCAATCAAAATGCTCTATTGCCAGTCAATATTCTTTCAGTATTGGACTGGGCACTGTCCCGAATGATACCGCACTTGTGTCCCTTTAAACTTCAGTCGTACAATAAATCTCTTATTAACCAAGCTTCCTCTGGACCGCACTGGAAGAATATCGGCCCTCTGTCTTTTTTGTATGGTTCGAGCACGGCTCGGTCCGCACTGTCAAGACCTGGAGCCAATATTCTCCCAGTACAGCCCTCGCACTTGGTTAATAAGATATATTTATGACATTACCCCTTTACACCCTAACAGCAGTATGCATATTCTCCATACTGTACTCTATAAATTTGATTAGGTGCTGTCAAGGAGAATTTATTTTACAATCAAGAGCTACTTTAGTTGTTGATCATTTCTTTTATTCCCATGACCTTCATGTTTGATTCAGGGGTGGTGGTGTTGGGAGAAATTGGGATTTAATCTGAGAATGGTTGAAGGAAACTCAATGCTTGTCTTTCTTAACCCATTAACCCTTAAGAGTGATTAACACCTAAACAATGTCAAAAATGTATTTCTCATAAAGTATTTGATCATATTTTTTCATCTCTTGACCTCAGGAAAGGACCTGCTAAAGTTCCTCTTAAATTCAATGCCCTGGATACAACGTATAACACTGACAGGAAAAGTTACACAGGAGAATATAAAGTTGTGCAAGGTGTTCCAAGGTAACGAAGGAATACTGTGCACAGATAATGGAGAGAGAGAGAGAGAGAGAGACAAAGTTGGCCAATGTTTGGCACACTGTGAACGGTGTTCTCCTTTTCAGCGGGAAGCAGTAAAATTTACAACCCATAGTACCTTTTAGTGTGAGGCACAGGGGTCTCATGGCTAGTGTGCTTGACTCTGGATGGAATGGTCTGGGTTCCAGCCTTGGCTGGGATATTGTGTTGTGTTCTTGGGCAAGACAGATTACTCCCACAGTGTCTCTCTTACCCCAGGTATTTAAATGGTAGCGGAGAATTTAATGCTGGGGGGGGGGGTAACCTTACATCAGGTCAGCATTACATCTGGGGAGGGAGTAGAAATACTCCTGGTTACTTTTATGCTATGGACACTGCAGTTAAGTGCCAGTTTGATGGGCCACCTGGCTCATAAACAGGCTTTACCCTAATTACCTACCTAGCACCTCTAATTACCACCTAAAATAGCTTGACATTTTTCAGGTAAGAAGATTGCTCTATCAGTTTGAAAATTTTTTTACCTGTCATGCTTAAGATAAGGGGGTACACTGTTAGGTGGTGGCTCACAAGGGTTGTGATCATTGTCAAGGCCCTTATCTCTCGCAGTGCCTTTCTATGTCCAAAAGTATTAATGGGTACTAAGAGACTGTTGAGGAAACTCACTAAAACTTTTGGGCAGGGTGAAGTAGGAGTAATTAGGTATCCTGGTAGGACTAGCACAATCCTCCAAGCTCAACTTGGAAGTTTGAACTCAAGTTGGAATTTAGTGGCCTTAAATCTAAAGATAATTGTTAGAAAACAGTGACAGCTTGGAGAATTGTAGCACACCATTCAAGAGGAGTGGCATTGCTTTCAAACCCAATGAGCTTCAGAAAGTGCAATTTGCTGTGGCAGTAATAGGCTACCCTGCTTGAAAGAGCAAGTGTTACATAACTAAAGGAGATCTAATTAGAGCATGGTAATAGAGTTGGAAGGTAGAGAGATTTTGATGTTGATATATATCTGATGCTAATGATGTTTCTTGCTCAATCATAGCTAATACCATTCTGTTTGCCTCAAAGGAATCCTGTTGGTAGGACAGGAATGATTGGAAGAGGATGGCTTGGTAGATGGGGTCCCAACCATGCCGCAGATCCAGTTGTCACAAGGTACGTGTGGTACTTCATCTTCCCCTGATTCAAGGGTGATCTGAATGATTGAAGGGGGCCATATACAAGGTCAAGTCAACTTTAAAAACACACACACACCTCTTTTATTACTGAGAATCAAAAGCAATTTTTAAGAGACAGTGTAGATCAAACATTCAAGTTGAAATCATACCCAGTTGCTTTCCATAGCTAAAAGAGTCCATATAATCCTTTAATGTCTTTTCCTTTGAAGTAGAAGTAGAAGTAGACATCTATATTTATACAGGATAGCCCCTTCAGTGTAGTAAACACTGGTATCAACGGGGGTCCTGTTAACCACCCATCTCACCCCAGGGGAGGACATCCATTACACAGTAATCTCGTGTGTGGGAAATTAATGTCTCCTGCCCCTAACCCTGCAGGAGACAGGACCTCCATTTATTCGTCCCTATCTGAGAAGACTAGAATATCTAATCATTTCTTGATGTTATAGAAAGGTAGCAGATTCTTCTCAATTATTTTAAGACCCTAAGTGTTGGTCCGGCGGGGGCTTGAACCCTCTACCTCCCGAACAACAGTCCAGCGCTCTATCCATTGAGCTAACCGGGAGGCGGTTAGCTAAATGGAAAACAGAACTTCATAGTATGCATATCTATTTCACAATTCAATTTCAATCAAAGGTGGAAAAGAAGCAGTTCAGGAGAAAAAGTTATGAAAGAAGGAAAACCAGTACTAGAAATTGTTGCCATTCAGAGGAGAGATTGCAAGGAATGGGCTCTTCCTGGGGTAGGTTTCTAACAAACACAAGTTTTTCTTTTAGAAAAATTGAAGGCTGTTTGGAGACTGCACTATCCACGTAAACCCTGCCCAGTGGCCACCTTGAGGATGCAGGAAGGGTGGTTGCCATGAAGAGGGGGCTGTTGTTGGGTGGTGTGGTTGATACGACACCGGTTATTTTGACCATTAGGAAAATTTTATTTAACAAATTCGCCCATTGCAACACATAAGTACAAAAGCTGTCAAGAATTCATGACTGTGAAAATAAAAAAAATTAAAAAAATCAGAAGATGAATGCATGAAAAGCAGCTGAAGATATTGCCCAGTAATTATCTTAATTTGCGAACGAATCTTTTCAGGGTATGGTAGATCCAGGCGATACTGTCACAAACACTCTTAAGAAAGAATTTGGAGAGGAAGCCTTAAACTCCTTGGAAGTTTCACCTGAAGAAAACAAAAGAATCCAGGAGCATCTTGAGCATCTTTTTCATCACGGAACTCTGGTAATTGCACATTTTGAATGTCTCAACAGAAAAATTAAGTCTCCTACCCCACCTTCTTGTTTTTGCTTTACTGTGATTTGTGATTGGTCTAGAAAATTTGTACACCATCTCGACTAATCGGGTATAAGTGACTTGGTAATGTATGTTTCCCTATGCTTCAGGCATTTTCCTAGAGACTCTCGTTTTCACATATTAACCACGTGACCAAAAAATGAGAAGTCTGGGAACGAGGATGGCGGTTTTGGTGTTTTTAACTTGGCTTCTCGTTGGCCTGTGTGATATTTAAAAATTTATTCATGTTTAGCATGAACTTATCAAGGTATGAATACAGGCGGGGAGTTTGGAGGTCTTAAGAGGTGCTCGTGGTGCAGCCTGGGATAACTCTAGCTCCTTGAGCGCTTTCCAAATTTTCAAGCGTGCATCCAAACTTAGATACCTGTAAAGCTGAAATTATGAACTTGTTGTTTAAAACGGAGCGAACACATTGGTGCGTTTGAACGAGAATGCTTCACCTGGTTTATAAAAAATTGTCAATGAAAAGTAGCTTCTTTGAACGAGTTTTCCATGGAAAATTGGCTTTTTTCAATCGGTTTAGAAAAATGCACAAATGAAGTCAGAGAACGCAATTTTGATAGAAATCTTAGCTTGATAAAAGTCAAAGACCCAAAGAAGGGTTGTGAGTCCTCAAAATGGTGTTATTATTATCGAGCACGGTACATTACGTTCATGGGAACAGACCCCAGGAAATCTTGCAGTTTTTCTATGAGAGACCTCCACGCTTTTATTATGATTGACAGTAACACTGGTAGAAGGATCCTAGGTATGCTTGTGATAATTTCTTCGCTAGTTTCTTCCATAGACAATCGAATAAGGTATATATACAACATGATGGCTCATGGAGAAGATAGGACGAGCGCGCCATGTCACAACATTATTTGTTCCAATTGCGTCTTACGTTCCCTTTGGTGTTGTTGTTTTTAAAGGTATTTCAAGGCTACATAGATGATCCTAGAAACACTGACAACGCCTGGATGGAAAGTCAAGCGGTTAATTTTCACGACGATAGTGGAAACGCCTTCAATAAATTCACTCTGCAAGCTGGAGATGACGCTCAACACGTGAAATGGGTTGAGGTGTCTCACGAACTGCGCTTGTATGCAAACCATCTCGACTTGGTAAAAGAAGTAGCTATGCAGCATAATGCGTATTGGTAGCATTATGCTCCATTAGCCAGTGGACACAAATTTTCAATTTTTAAATTTAGACTTGCTTTGTACATCCTACACATGTGACGTAGAGTTCGAGCCTTGGGTCTTTTTATTTAAGCAAAGTTTAGCTGTGTTTGACAGAAACGCGTGCTAGATAATTCACAATTCAGCCCGGCAAAACTTTTTGACCTTTAATTAGAACACTTATATTTTTGAACAGTGTTAAGAGGTTGCTAAATATTATGCTAGTCAAAGGGAGCTTCCCGACGACAATTCGTCAACTATATATCTCGCCGCGTACGATTGGTCCAAATGGGTCATGTGATAAAATTTTAATATGGGTTCTTTTGCATGATTGTGCCACGCGACCTTTTCAATCATAAAAAAATTGGTCTTTGTATTGTATTAGCACCAGAAAGAGAAAAATATTATGATGAAATATATAGACAAGGATTCCAATTGTGAGGGCACTGACTACAAGGAAGAGCAAGACCAAACAGTTAACCACATTGTTTTAAAGATTTATGATGAAATATTTGCTCCCGGAATCTTTTTCAAAACAGTTCGAAAACTTTAAGCAGTTCCTAAGTATCAGTCAGTGGCCTCAACCATAATTGTACATTGCACATGTGCACCGATTCAGTTGAATATAAAAGGTTCCTTTGTTGTATTTCATGTTCAGCTGGTTCGATGTAATTTTTTCGAGATTTTTTTCCGTGTGAAGTCCGCGCAATGCATTTCATTTAAAATAAGTTAACTAATTGTTTAAAACTATTTTACTTCCTGAAGACTGAGGGTGTCTTTCTAAACGCAAGCCTTGAGCAAGCTGCGAACTTGGTGTGGCGTGGTATTCATGTGTGTCACTAAGGATTGTTCGAAAATGTAAAACTAAAAATCGTTGTAGATATGCTAAACATGACTCTCGGGTTCGATAAGCCACTATTCATCATTTGTGACGTGTTAAACAGGGTAGCGAAGTGAACGGCTTTTTCCCATCAGTGTCTCAGCAGCACTCCCCTCCCCCCCGGCCCAAACTTTTTTCAAGGCCCCCCCCCGAAATGAAAGTCGAAACTAGGTGTTTATAAAGCGAACTCTGTGAGTCTCCTTATACGGTCACCGTAGGGTCTTACTTCTTACCTTTCCCCTCTCCCCCCCTCCCCCCGGGAAGCTTGTAGCCGCAAAACTCTAAGCGCACTATTTTCTTCATCTCAGCCCTTATTCTTTTTTTCTTTCTTTTGATGTTTTCCTGTCTCGCTTAAGTAATTTCTTCGGTTTTCTTCAGGATGAAAGTAATTCTAGACAGCAATGTGGAAGACTCGAAAAGTAATGACGAAGTGTCTGTCCAGTTTGCGCTTTTTTGTCCTAGAGAAATTTGTTCCTGAACAAAAGCTTTCAGTGCAAGGGAACATAACCGGTTTCTTAGTTTTGGGAATACTTACTTAATTCGCGTCCGAAAATTTAACAATAGTGTTGCAGAGTGTCTAATGAGACATTTTTAGACCTACGTTGCAAGAATATGCTATTTTGCTGCGTTTTTCCTTTCTCTAAAATCCCGCCCAAGACATTCTCCCTTCCCATGCCGTTTCGAATGGCCGGAACCTCAGGCCAACAATTTGGGCTTCCCATGGCGTCGAATACCATAGCAACCTTATCATACAGGAAATAATGTTTGGGTTTCATGTTTTAAACTTTGAAAAAGTGAAGACACATTTTGATTAATGCTTTTCACGACTTCAGTTCATATTGCCTTTCAAAATATGATTAGCATGTCAACATAAGTAAGGTGTCAGCGTTGACGTTTTTCAAGCATAAATCAATAAACTTTCGCCACTGTGACTAACACGAAAACGCGAAAAATCGCCTCGATAGGGCTGACAGTGCCACGATACTCACTCACTATCAGTTGGGCTGTTTTAATTTTGTCAATTGGTGTTTTCACGTTAAATTTTTACATTTTCTTTGTGGACCAGAACTTGGTTGGTCAACTATGGACGGGAAATTTGCTTCATCAAAGCATCATCAGTGCAAAGTAAGTAAGTCTTGGGACATATTCTACTAGATTTCTCAAAGAACCTTGGGTTGCAAATTATTTTGGGCTAATTGTATTTTTTTTGTTTTGAAACGGGATTTTTAACTTGAAATAAAAGAAAAACAATTACGATTCAAATATATTTTTGGATTTTATGATGGCTTATCGGGTAGATGCAATCGACGGTAGAATCAATAGCAAATCGATACTAACATTAACCGATTGATGTTTTGCGGTTGCGATT